GATTGGCTGGGAAGTCGGCCCCATGCTCTCTCATCACAAGTGACGAGAGAGCATGGGGCCGCTTCCCGGCCAATCAGGGAACCGGGCAGCGTGTAATGACGCGCTGCCCGGCTTCCTGATACCGGAAGTACTCGTGCTAGGCATCGGAACATTTGGATACTCGGAATCGGCACAGATATCGATACTGGTGTCGGGGAAACGCTACTTAAAACCATTGTTGGTAGGTTGCCTTGAACTAGTCAGTTGTTTCTGCAAAGAAAAGATCAAAATAAATTAAATGCGGGAACCCCTGGAGAGGTTTTTAAAAAAAAATTATTGCTCTGTGTCCCCATTGAGAAGATTTGTTCCCATGTCTTTTGGAGGCAGCAAATGATGGAAAAACTCATCAATACATTTTTTTTTTTTAGAAAAACAGGGAAGGGTTCTCATCTTTTTAATGTTCATATTACTGTTTGTGACACCACTCAACTTATTTCCTGTCCTGCTGTCATAGGTAGTTAAAAGGACAGGTTGTGAGATGAAATCTCCCCAGTGGCATTACAGACAGTGATAAATAGATTTAGTCCTTCCAAATGTATCCAAAACAAAGTAGTGTGTGGGGATGGGCAATAACTTCAAACAATAATATATAATTTGACCTATTTGGCTGATCCTTACATCATGCTGCAAAAGTACTCATGCTCAGCTCTAAACAAGTTTGTCATGGTTGTGCAAAGAAATAACAGTGGCATAATAGCCCCCTTTGCCCAGGCCAGTTGAATACTAGATTTCCAGCATTAACTGGGTTTGCCCCAGAGCAGGGGCCTGTCAAAGGATATCTGTATAAGAATTTCTAAACCAAATAACGTGGGTCACCCGGCCTTTTATAGGGGCTCTTTTGTAGTTCGGATATAGCTTAGACACACACACACGGTAATTGTAAAATGTACAAGTGTAGTTATTCCAAACCAGCAAGACAGAAAACGAATTCAAAGACTCACCGGATGCTTTACTGAATAATTGATTATCATATAGTCATTACCAAGGGGTAACCAGGACCGTAAGGTTACAAAGTCTCTGTTCTTAAGGGGACTTGTACATTTCCCTGTAACAGAAGAACAGTTAGTTATTGAGGCTCAAAATCAAAATGTGCAAATGATACAGATCACAAAGGCTCATTATGTGGCACACTATTAAATACTACCTGATAATTCTCATAGATTAAAGGGTTTAAAATGACCTTTGCTGCCAAAAGCAAGTCTGTGAAATGCCAGTAACCTTCGTAACCTCTCAATAGTAGTAACCTTTTGCGAAAACTGAAATATGCAGTAGTCCACGGCACCTAGGAATTTTAGATTGTTCATGTCATACTACGTTGGATTGATCCGCGTTTGCTGTGGTTTAGTGCACATAATTGCCCTTTTCCCCATCAGCAAAAAAGCGATCATGTAGGATCTGTAATTCTAAAGTTCAGAATAAAAGTATATATTACACTTGAATAATCTATCTTTTAGGCCTAAGGGGCCATTCGCACCATGTCCAGACCAGAACTGGATGCGTTTGTGGGTTTTTTTTTATGTGTTTTTTTTTGTCTCAATTGGATTTCTAGTGCATTCTGGTGCATTTGCATGTTTGAAAAAACGGTGCATTCAGTAATTTTTTTTTATATTCTGGAACTGCACACAGTGGTGTTAACTAGCCTCAATTTTAACCATAGGAATGAGCGGGGAATGCGTTTTTGGACCAGACAAAAAAAATGTTTTAGTCTGGATCTGGTCTGGAGATGGCGTGAACAAGCACTAATTATAGTATATAGAAAGTAAGACTGTTTAGGGTGATTTTCAATTATGAAATAATCACAAGTGATTTAAAGTAGGATTAAAGGCAGTTTTTTTTTACCTTAATGCATTCTCTGCATTAAGGTAACAAATGCCCAGTAGCTTTTTCTGACCCCCTCCCCCCCCATTTACTTGTGCACACCGCGGTCCCTGAAGCGATCCTCCGTTCCCCGAATTTCCTGGACAGAGGAGCCATATGCTCCTTCTGCTGCCAAACTATTGGGAGGAGATTAGGGGCGTGGCCTGCCCCACACTGTGTGCATGTCTATCGACGCACACAGCTACTTGCGGACACGACCGGGAACGTGCACGCACAGGTGTCTCTACAGCAGCAGCTTAGCTGATGGAGACACCCATGCAGGGGGCAGGAGGGAGAGGGAAGCAGAGACCCACTAGAGAATGAGGAATTAAAACCTTAAATAAAAAATAAAAAGCAGCAAGGATCTGCCTCCCATGTGGGCTTTCCAAGCATACTAAAAACAAAAAAAGCTAAAAGGTTTAATATCACTTTAAAGAAGAAGAACGAAACGTTTCAGTTAAACCACAAGTCCTTTTACCCACCCACCAGCTTGTGCCACAACAGAAATATCTAAACCAGAATCTTTTCCTGCACACACCCTAAAAGGTGCCCATACACTGCTCCATTCTCGTACGAGAATCGGGCGAAATCCCGCGATCGTACGAGAATCGAGCAGTGTGAACTAAAGGTGCCCATATACTGCTCGATTCTCGTACGAGAATCGGGCGAAATCCCGCAATCGTACGAGAATCGAGCAGTGTGAACTAAGACGTGCGACCGTTTCTACTGTACGGTCGCACGTCTTTTGTCGCGCCAACATG